CGGCTGGAGCCACAACTCTTCGCCCCAGAGCCAGATGATTTGGTCTTTTATATAAGGCTTCCCTTTCTGCCAGGCATGCTGCTTCTGAAGTCCCCTCGCTTCCATCTCCTCAACCACGTGAATAGGGTGGCTGCCAAGCTACTTGAGGTCCTCGATATCGGAGCTTTGGCAAGTTCGGCAGCCGCGCCCAAAAGACTCAACGCCGTCCTTCTGCCGGTGGCCCGACACCCTTCCTTGCAAGCCACGTCCTCGCCCAGCTCCTCGACTTGATGTTGCCACTCCTGATCGGATCTCCCTTGGGCGATCCACACCTCGTGACCTGTCAGCTGACGAACCTTGCCCGTGACTGCACCCTTTGTCCAGTGGATAGACGACCTGACGGCGGTCTCCACCTTCCTCAAGCCACACATGGCCTGCAACCCCTCGTGGCCTTCCCGTACTCAAAGTAGTCGACCCACGATGACTTGTTTGCCGCTCCGAGGTAGGTGCCAATTGACGGGGGAGAGACTGTCTTCACCAGGAAGTCTCGATCGCTGACACGTCAGAGTCATAGGTGCTCTGATGCAGAAAGGTAGCAATCCTCGCCTGACCAGCGCTTCCCGAGTTCTGATGTGAGAAACTCAGCCTGGTGAGCCATCCATCCATTCTGCACGCCCACTCACTCAGCACCTTCCGGATCGCCTTGCCCCTCGGATCTGGTCCAATGGTGCCGGCGACTATGCGAAGGTCCCCATGCCATTGGAGAACTCGCCCTGACCTTGGTGTAGGGATGACACTCCAACCATCTGATGCTGTGCCATCGGAAGCTGCCGCCTGCTTTCTCCACTTGGCCAGGAGCTTGGTCAAGCCTTTTGTCCCCTTTCGTTGCCCTCCGTGGCCTGCTCAAAGAGCTGCTTGGTGAGGTCCAGCAAGGACATGCTACTGAGCTGCCATTTGCTTGCGGACATCCTCCTCGTCAGGGCCCAAGGTTTTCCCATCGACGAGCTGCTCCATGAACTCCTCCAAAAGTAGACATCAGCCCTTTGCGATCTGGTGAATTGATCATGCCCAATTTGGCGAGGTTGTGCTGAACAGATGACTTCGGGGTGTGTCCACGTGAGGCTGCAAGCCTTCGTCGGGTGTGGCTGGGACGATCCTCTGAGGCATCCGCACGCACTTCCTTTAAGGTGGCCTCCGCATCCTCCGTGTAATAGCTCACTCCACGAGGTCGAACTCTGCGTCGAAGTCCGGTGTCACCTTCTCCTTCTTCCGGTTCGTCACCTTCTTCAGCGGCTGGATCTCGATCTCGACCGGGAAGTTCGTCTCGGTGGTGGCGTTGCGAAGACCTCCTCGTGGTCAGTGCAAACCCGTAGTCCCTGCTTGCTGAGGTAGCCAAGCTTTTAGCAGCCCATTACCATACCCGTTAGATAATCCATATTAAATCCTAGGGGTCAACCCCAGGAAAAAACAACATGTTGCCCGATTATCACCTACGTCCAGAAGAATAATCTGACACGAAAAACTAGCTACAAAGAAAATCTCGACCTTGGAATGGAACAAGGATTTTAATAATGAGGTATCTTAGGCCAGGAATTTAGCAATGCATGTTTTCCCAGTCTGTGATTGCTTGCGCAGGGTCAAGGTATGATTTTAATGCTTTAATAGGGCCGGTCTGTGCATTGCCAGCCTCCAATTCTGGTATTGTTTATTCTGTATCCAACCATGGAGGCAAATATTTGTTTCCTGAGCTCAACTGAGCGGCGTAGTGAAGGGATCAATTTTGGGACGTTGACCGAGGACCCGATGACCCGTTTCGATTGTCCAACCTCGGTGTATGGCCGTTGTTGTTTTTTTAAAGAACATGCATGTCCTCATATATATATATATATAATTATATATAATCATATCATTGTGCCTAAAACATGCCAGGCCAATACTCGGAACCAGGAAATGACCAGGTGACCAGCCGGGCCCCTGAACACACAACACATGAATTAGTGATAAAGTGGCTTGTACATGTTTGACATGCACAAGCACACACGTATCACGGACGTTAAGTATCACATTTATACATGTTTGCAGATTTTTGGGTGATATTTGTGAGAATTTTATGTCCATACTAGGATTTAAATAAGCATACTAGTTCGGTATCAGATGTGATCATGTAGGGTTAGGACAGGATTATATTAAAACGTCAGCCCGAGGATTTTAACACGACAGAATCTCAGTCAAAAACATATTGAGCGTCGACCTTGGAACATTTAAAACATAAGAACTAACGTCAGCCCGGAAGGATTTAATACAGTTTTTCAGTTGAAATCCTTCACCCAACGATTCTGGCGTTATTCAACGGGTATATTACCGAGCACCTGTGAGATGCCCGAATGTTCAGGCAATTAGTAGAGCATGCTTTGAACACAATGTGCACCCCGAAGGAAGAACCCCTTTGTCTTCCTCCAACAACATTGCTTCGGTAGATCCTCTCTCCGTGCAGGGCTGGTCACTCAACGCGTGTCGACCACTACTGTCCTCCCATCTAACCCGGCCAGCTTGGCACAGTGTGTCATCGGGCTCCGACTCGGACTTCAACTGCTTCGCAGTTGTGGTGGCTCCATTTTACATCCACCCGCCTTCTGCGCCCCTGCCGTTGAAGCCGCCAGGTGGAAGTGCTCGCCGTTCAGCTCCTTCGCGAGGGCGTAGATCTTGAAGTGCTGCCCTTCCTCTTGACAGGTGTCGTGACGGCAAAGGTGAACTTTGTCATAGCCCTGCAAAGCCAGGAGTAAAGCTGCATCCCCTCGCGTGGCCTCGGACTCGATGGTGAGAACACACTGTTGGTTTTGATTCCTGCGCTCTCAACCACCTTGACGATCACCTTGTCGTGGCGTCTCTTGAGCGCAACGCAGCGGTCAGAGTCGCCAGCCTTCTTGAGCTTTCTCAACTCGGCCGTTTCCGGGATCTCTCAGTGCCTGGGCCAATGAAGCGAGCTCCAACTGCTTCGGGTACTCCGCCACACCATTTCTGAACGTAGCACGTAGTCTGTCCACAGCATCGAACGCAAGCGCATAGGATCCAAATGATCGTGAGCAAGGTCCCGATGGCCAAGGAGAAGAGCGGCCAACATAGGGAGAGCACGTAGTGGGCAGTCAAGCACAGCGCCATGAAAGCTGTGATGCGAACCAACAACGTGCACCCGCTCTTCACGCTCGTCCAGCTCTGACCGAAAATCATCCAGCCAAAGGCGCTAAGTCCACGCGAAGCCTTCCCAGGATCCAGGTTTCCAGGACTCCCAGAGCTCGCTGGCGTTGCCGATGGTGCTGTTGCTCCACTATCTGAAGCCTGCCGGTCCTCTTTGAAACTTCGGCAACTCGAGGTCTGTGGGCTCTAGGGCTGGTTGCCACCAGCCGTTCCCCAGCCTCACCGCCAGAGCCCCCACCAAGACCGCTGCCCTCCAGCGCCATGGCGTGCCCTGACTCGAACAAAAGCCGTAAAGCTCGAGCCTTCAGCAACCGAAGTCGCGTAGTGCTCTCCACCCAAAAATTTCACTTTCGGAAAAGTTCCAAAAACAAGAAATGAAAGTAAGCAACTTTTCCTACGAAGTAAGCTTCGGCGTAGTCCGCTCAAGCCTTGAAGCCATTGGTTTATTTTGTTCTAAACTTCTAAACTTTGGATGTTCCAGCGGAAGTCTGCGTGAATTAACGCTTTTTTGTGCTACAATGTAGAATGGCATAGAATGGCTATGAATAATTGAGCATTGCGATGGGCTTTTGTTCAAGCTCTTTGTTGTTACTCTTTTGGCCTTGTTTGCCTATATTCCTTGTGCGCACGTGTGGTCCAGCACAAATTTGCTTAGGTGTGGTCAGGACTCAGAGGACAGGGGCATGCCAGTTGAAGCAAGACGATGAGTGCTGCATTTCAACCGTGCAGGCTACCCCTCAATAAACCCATACTGTAGCAGAACACAAAATGTTCGGTTTGGACGGCAAACGGGCAAAGATGTAAAGATGGTGCAGGTGCAGCATCGAAGGCTGAGGGTCGTGAGTTGCTGCATTTTTTTTGGAGTTGTGAGGTTGAACCGTCACTTGCCATATAATGATATATAGATACTGTGTATATATACACACATAAGGCACTATAATGTCTTATACTTACTAAGCTCAAAGAATCTCAGAGCATTGCCAAAGGCATGAAGTCATAGATCCATGCTTTCTGGTCAAAGTGCTGAAATCCTCGCACGGGTTTTTATTGCCCTGATTATCCAGATGTTTTTTGTGGCAATGTTAGGGCGGGAGGACATTTGCGATGTTGCTATCCTTGCGTATTGCATACGCGAGTTGACTTTGCGTTCTGCTGTTGTGGAAAGGGTGTCGGGGCGAGGCAATACCTTCACTCGAAGTTCTTGAGGCATCATGCTACCTCTCTCAAAGGATGTGCGCGGTGAATTTGTCAGCCCCAAAGCTTAACGCAATGTTGCGAGAGTTTGTTGTTTTCTTCAGTGCAACTAGGGGCGAACAACCTAAGGGGGTTGCCCTCTCATCCTATCTCTTTTTCATTGCATTCCTGAAGGATACTTTGCCCTAAGGATACCGCAAAGGAGAAACTTGAGAGAGTCACTCCGTGCATCATGCAAATGCAAGTTGTTTATCTCATCTTTGCAAGTGCCTGCGGCGGGTGCTTGCTTATAAAATGTTCCCGGTTCCTGTTGACAGCCTTTTAACTATATGCTTTGTTTTGTTCATCTTTGTGCCGACCTGACTGCAGGGGTGAGGCTGCACAACTTCTCTTTCAAAAGTCGCAGGCAAGGTGGACGGGTCCATAAAGACAGGGAACCTGGTAGGGTCCACTGTCATGAAGGGGAAACTAGGCCAGGTAGGGGCATGAAGGGGCTACTGTCATGCACCAGGCATTGCTATCGAGGAAGCCTTTGTGATAGCGTGTTGTGTTTGCTCATCGGCCCAAGCGTCAGCTTTGGAGCTTTGGAGATGGATGGGGTGGAATGAGCGCCATTGGTAGAGTGTGGGTGAATGCTACAGTACTCCAAGTTTGACAATATCGATACCGATACCGAAACCGATGCAGACTCTCCAAACTCGGGAGCCCCACGGACAGAAGAAGGACTCTTCCAAGCCTTTCTAATCTTGCATCAGCGAAGAGAGCAACTGGATAAGAAGATTCTTGGTCAGTTGCCTGCGCTGTCAGCTGCACTGCAATTTCGTCCACGGCCACAGTTGCGCCTGATCTTGGAGGCGGCAGTTGATGAATACGATGACATTTGCCAGAGGGTTTTGGCTCTCGATGGAGTTCGGCAAGAATCTGCTTTGCGTTCAGTCGGGCACCGCCATGAAATCTCTGTTTGTCGACTTACAGCTGCAAGGGCTTTACAAGCTATGGGGTGTTCAGAGGAGGCTGAGGGGCAAAGCACTCAGGCAATCATAGCTGCCAGCGTCCCTTCGAAGAACGCTCCGGCCTTCGACGGTTTGAGTTCTGCGATCAGCATGCTCTACCAAACACGGGTTGATGCACTTCTCGTGCGCTCCATGACGCGCTTGAGTCGTGGCGATTTCAATGCTGCTCATCGGGATGCCTTGGATGCCCATTCAGATTCAAGGTCCTTGTACTTGCCACAAATGGAAACAACTGCTCTTGAAATGGCAATGCGGTGCGAAATGGCCTTGCATGCTGGGGGTCCAGGTGAAGATGGGAAAGGCACTCAACTCTCTCCAGAAGACGCGTGCAACATTGATTTCAGAGACAAAGAGTCCTGGTCACTTTTGCAGAAGGAAGCAAGATGTGCAGCAGGTGAAACTTCGGGTTTGACAAACCTTCATTCTATGGACTGAAGGTTCTGTACAAGTGTGAAATAGGTGGTCAAAGGTGCTACCCATCAGCCAAAAGATTCTGTCACGTGCCTCATGTTGGCAACAGAGTGCGGACTTCTCTACTTCATTAACGTGTTTGGTGCGTTTTCTCACCACACCGCCTGCCTGTTGTTTTCCGTATTTGAAACAAGGCCTGCATTTCAAGGAGGCACAAGAACATTCAGGCAAGGAGATGGGCGGTGAATCCGCGGATTCTCCTCAATTGTTTCGATCAAACCATCGCACACACTCTGACAATTGTATTCAGTTAACTCAGTTACCACGATGGGAAGAAAGGCGAAGAACCGCAAGGTGGAAAAGTCGGCGCAAATGTATTGTTGAACATTGTTTCCAAGTGGTCGCAAAATCGATCTGTACAGGTGATGCGGTGACGAGCTCAGCTGCGGGGAAAAGGCTTATGGGAGGAAACATGCAACCACCATGAATCAAACAAGGCGGATTGGACAGCTTTTTCAAAAGTTGTGGCAGGTACACACCAAAGCGTCCTCTGGTGCGTCCCCTGTCACATCCCAGCTTCGTTGGGCCAGGTTGGATGTGACAGGCCTGGCCCCCCTGCCGGTGAAACTGTGGGTAGAAAGTGGGGGTTGAAGTGGCGGTAGGAAACCCTTGGCCCAGGGGTTGACACACACACACACAGATCGCCGTCATCGGCGCTTTTTTCAAAAGCGGTGGCAGGCGTTGTGTAGAACGTTGAAAGTGGAGCTTTGTACAGAAAGCGCCAATATTGGCGCTGCGAAAAAACTAATAGCCACCTAAAAAGCCTTAGAAAGACAGACAAAGCAAACAAAACAAAAGCATACTAAGAGGGCAAGAAAGAAAGATAGGGGTAGTTACGGGGCCCACTTAGTTGAATGAAAGTAGAGCGCGAGCGGGACATTTGTCTTAAACCGCCCGGGTAGCTAGCAATAGGCTAGGAGAAACAGAAGGAAAGGCACCAACACACAAGTGTGTTGAGTGCGATTTCCTTCTGTTTCCCGAGTAGCGGGTGGGGTAGCAAAGGGCCCAGGGGTAGGGAGGGGGAAATGCACAGTTAATTTGTCCGGCCTGTGAAGACTTAGCAGCACATGCACATGTGAATACTTAGCCGTCAAACAACTCAGTGCAGAAAAATGCAAACGCTGCCACACTGTCAGTTCCCGTGGTGAGGCCCGGCGGCCGTGGTGGCAGTTAATTCGGTGGTTGTGTAGGTGACTTCCTGTGGGATTCCTGTGAAGAGTGGTGAGGTCAGTTAGTGCTTGCACGATGAGACAGCGCCCCAATGACGGGGATCACACTCAGCACCCGAGTGGGACGGCTGAGCGAAACACACTCTGACAATTGTATTCAGTTAACTCAGTTACCACGATGGGAAGAAAGGCGAAGAACCGCAAGGTGGAAAAGTCGGCGCAAATGTATTGTTGAACATTGTTTCCAAGTGGTCGCAAAATCGATCTGTACAGGTGATGCGGTGACGAGCTCAGCTGCGGGGAAAAGGTTTATGGGAGGAAACATGCAACCACCATGAATCAAACAAGGCGGATTGGACAGCTTTTTCAAAAGTTGTGGCAGGTACACACCAAAGCGTCCTCTGGTGCGTCCCCTGTCACATCCCAGCTTCGTTGGGCCAGGTTGGATGTGACAGGCCTGGGTTGAAGTGGCGGTAGGAAACCCTTGGCCCAGGGGTTGACACACACACACACACACACACTCGGGCAAATGCGTACAGAAGTGATCGCCTCAAGCTCTGAGGTAGTATGTAATGCGGTCTGGCCATTTGAAGGACATCAAAGTTCCAAAGTTAAGAGCCGCACCAAAGTTCGAGGTTCAAAGTTCAGGCCCAAAGCTCAAAGTCAAAGTGCGTGACTGCAGGGAAAGAACCGCTCCGAAGGCTGGAAGAAAACGGAGTGAGATCACGGGACATGAAGGCGGAGAAGACATGAAACGAAAAGAGAAGAACATGTGAAGGGGGAGGAAGGAGCGTGGATATTGCGCCCAGGGGCATCCCCAACAGAAGGGAAAGAAAATGCGCCAAGCCAGGACACGCAGGCGTCCAGGGACACACCGGTGGAGAGGGGCGTGCCTGTGCGTTACATCCAGGGATACCCCAAAAAGGTGAAAAAGAAGAAGGGAGAGGGAGGGGAGAGGGGAATAAGACATGGGTCTTGAGTGCCTACTCCTGGCATTCAACCTGCTCAAGAACCACTCCAAGTCGGCAGGTCTTAATCCACGTTTGGCATAAGCCTAAGCCTTTTACGCTCGCTGCGAGCTACTCTGTTCCCGGGCAGGGGGAGGGAGACAAACCTTGCTCAGCAAGGCCACGGAGGGCACTCGTCGGGTTCACCCCGGGCTCCCACGATGGGGAGACACACTTGGGAAAATGCCTAACGAAATGAAAGCCACTGGCCCCACAGCAACCTAGGCAACCAATGGTTTCGCATGCAACCAACCCACTAGCGATGGCCGACCAACCTACTAGCGACGCCCTCCCACCTAGATGCAACGGCCTCCAACTTACTCTCTTATTTTGCCCAGGAAGGTGGTTACCAGACTCACAACTGCAAGACACTCAAGGTTGGAGGCCATAGTTTGTAGGGTGGATGGAGGCCATCACAACAAGGTTGGAGGCCCTCGCTACAAGGTTGGCGGCCCACGAAACCAGAAACCAAACTCACAACTGCAAGACACTCAAGGTTGGAG